TACATTCAAACATTCCATGGAAACATATATATATATATATGGTTTCTTAATCTGAATTTTAACAATACTGAAAGATTAAGGTAACATCACTAAACAATACAAACTGGACAAAAATATAGAATTTAAGATTTAATTTGACAAAAATGCATATTCTAACTGAGGAAAAAGTTAGGACACCTTCACATTTATTCACTTAAAATGGCTGAAATCACAGACAGGTGTATCGTTACTCAGCATTTTGAATGAGGCTTGTCCTTTCTAAACCTCTGAAACTTATTTTGGTGTGCTCTTGAAGGGAGAGTGAGCACCATGGTAAGAGCAAAAGAGCTGTCTGAGGCCTTCAAAAAAATAATAAATAATAAAAAATAAATAAATAAATAAAAATTGTAGTAGCCTACGAGTCTGGTATAGGGGGACTTAAAAAGATCTCAAAAGATTTTGAAATGAGCCATTTCACAAGTGGAGGGCTATCAAAACAACTGCCAACATGCCCAGGTTTGGTCGTTCCAGCAAGTTTACCCTCAGAGCAGCCCACAAGATGCTAAAAGAGGTCTTCAAAAACCCCAACATGTCTTCTCGGGACCTGCAGCAGGCTCTGGCTGCTGTTGATGTGAAAGTGCATGCTAATACAATCAGAAAGAGACTGCACAAATTTAACTTGCATTGGAGGTGTGCAAGAAGGAAACATTTGCTTTCAAAGAAAAAACATCAAGGCCAGATTGAAGTTTTCCAGAGAGAATATTGACAAAGACCAGGACTTCTGGAATAATATTCTTTGGACATACGAGTCCAAAATTGAATTATTTAGACACTAGAACAGATGACATGTTTGGCATAATCCAAAGAGGCATGCATTCCATACCAACTATAAAGCACAGAGGTGGAAGTGTTATGAATTGTGGTTGACTTGCTGCAGCAGGACCTGGTAAGCTCACCATCATAGAATCCAGCATGAATTCAACTGTTTCAGAGGGTGCTTGAGGAACATAGAAGACCATCTGTCTGTAAATTAAAGCTAAAACAAAACTGGACCATGCAACACGACAATGACACAAAACATACCAGTAAATCATCAAGGACTGGCTGGAAACTGAGAAGTTTAGAGTCCTGGCATGGCCAAGTCAAAGCCCAGATGTTAATAACATTAAGTTGCTGTGGGGTGACTTGAAACGGGCTGTAGATGCAAAAAAAAAAAAAAAACCCTCAAACATCTCACAGCTAAAAGAGTTCTGCATTGAAGAGTGGGCTACACTTTCCTCAGACTAATGTTAGAGACTGGTAGATGCCAACAAGAAACGTCTCACTGCAGTTATTTCAGCCAAAGTGGGTAACACTAGCTTTAAAGGGGTAGGGTGTCCTAAATTCATTTTTAGTTAGAATATGCATTTTTGTAGAAATACATTTACAGACTTTTTTCAGTTTTAATTGTTTAGTTATGTTACCTTACTCTTTCTGCATTCTTAAAATTGAGATGAAAGCATGCAATATTTTAATAAGACGCATATTTTTTAGAATCTTAAATATATTTTTTTATTGTACAAACATTATAGTTAAGATTTAATTTGAATCCCTAATATTTAACTTTATTTAAATGAGTAAAATATATATACTTTTATACATTTTATTGTATTGTTTGATACATTTATTGTGATATTTAGTTATTATTATAATGCAAATATACATTTTTAATTTTATACAAATGCACATTTATCTATTTTAATTTATCAATAAATTTTCTCCATACATTTATATACTATTCTTTGTGAGCCCTGGTTTAAAGAATTATAGGGGAGATGAATTATTAAATGTCAGGTATTCATTGTGACATTCTCTGTTGTTGTTTTTTCCTGGGTAAAAAAAAAGTTAGCTTTTTTTGGTAGTTGATTATGCATTAACTGACTTGCATAAATTTACCTTGAGAAGCATTCACTGAAAAAAAAAATAGCTGTGATAACTAGCCCTACTATCCAGTATTATGATAATGAAATACATTATAAAGTAGGCCTACAACAAACTATTTCTAATTTCAAATCAACAACACATTCCAAAAAAATAAAATAAAATAAAATTATGCTGCATGTTCAACAAGCAACACAGTTCCTTTGGACAACTTAATTGTCCACTTATAAATGTCAAGTTTTCAATCGATTTTTGTGGAACCCTGCATTTTTTACAGCAAAGAACAGCAGTTCAGTCCTGCGGGTAATCACTGATCTCTCCGACACGTTTGTGGATTTTATAAAATTAATCTGGAGGTTGTAATAACACTGCTGTTTGATATCGTAAGTGACAAGCCTTCAAAATATTTCACAGAGCTGTGGTGCGGTTGATGGATGACATATTCCTTGAATTAACTTGTTTCATCGAAGAATTAACCATCTATAAAAAGACGACGCTGAAGATCCTGTTCCCATAACCTTTTCTGTCACCGCATTGAATAATCAATCATTCCGTTTCTCATCTCAATATAATTACAAACCGATAACCATTTCTCCTCAGCAAATCATTTTTAGATACTGCTAATATTGTTCGTTCGAGGATTATGTCAGTCTCTCTATGACCAAATCCCCTTTATTATATTGTTACGGCTGATTTATAATAATTCATTCCTGATAAGCCTCGGTATGAGGGGTTACACTTAGTTTAATGGGGCTTAATTAACCTTCAGTAACTCCTTGAAGACACAAACTAACTGGGTTGAGATTTCTCAGATCATGTGACAGATATTTGATGAGAGATTCTGACAAACATTTAATGAGAGAGTTCGTTTGGATTGTTTGCTTCAAGGTGTATTTCACCCAAAAATAAAAATTCTGACATAATTCATCAATCTTTATTCCATGGAATACAAAAGAGGATGTTCTGCTCTGTTATATAAAATGAAAGTGAACGAAGGCCGAGTCTGTCAGACTTGAAAAAGGTCACACTATGTAAAAAAAGAGAGATCTTGGAAGTAATTCATTAAAAAGAATGCCTAAAGAAAATCTTGCTTGACGGCCATGGCCATCAATATACAGTGCAAGATATATAATAATGGACATTAAAATTAAAGAACAACCAACAATTAAAGTGATAGTTCACCCAAAAATTAAAAATCATTTTGTCACCCTTGACTTGTTCAAAACATATCTGAACATAAAAGAAGATACTTTGAAGAATGCTGATAAGCTGTAACCATTGGTATCCATAGTATTTGTTTTTGAATATCAATAGTTACAGGTTTCCAACATTCTTCAAACTAACATATCTTGTGTTCAACAGAACAAACAAACTCAAACTGGTTTGGAACTAGTCAAGGTTGCATAAATGATGGCATTTAAAAAAAAAAAAAAAAAAAAAAAAAAAACTTTGAAGTCATATTTTAAGTTAAGTCAAATTAGAGCACACTTTCACATCCTCCCATATTTAATGTTAATCTGGAAACTTTTTGGTAATTTTGTACTATTATTGGCCAAACCCTATCCTATTTAATCAGCAGATTAAATTTCCAGTTTTCACAGACTTTGTTTTAAAGATGGTAAGCAGTTATAAATTGACCGAAAGCACCCAACAGAAAGTTAATCAGATGAAGACCAAAAAGATGAAGAAACAAGCAAGAGATATTGCATCTTTAAATTATCACTAACTCATTAAAATCCCCTAGAAAGGCATACAATACCTTATGTACATGAAATCCAAAAGCACATAGTAAAATTTGAAGAAACTAAATGGCAATCAGTTCAACACTGGAGACTAGTATTCCTCACCAGTTGAATAGGGAGGTTTCTTAAAAAAAAAAAAAAACAGATCCTTGAAGCTGAAAGCAATAAAATAATGAAATGGCACCCCAGAGTCCTGATCTAAACCTGAACAAACATCTCTAGAATATATATTTTCTGGCGCAGTTATGTCAAAAAAACCACTACAGTCTGTGAAAACTGTAAAAGCCTGAAAAAGAGCTGATCAAGATCACAGCAGAGCAGAGAGACTATAAATCCTGACAGAGACTGATAACTAGCTGAAGTCATTCAAAAACAGGGATTGCGACAATATTAAAATTCTTAAAAAAAAATTCCACAAAGATATAATATTTAGTAATTATTCTTACTTGGTAATTGTAGTATTGTTTTAATGTATTAGTTATTTCGTAAAACTCTGATATACGGGCTACTAAAATTCCTTCAAATTTTTAACAAAAAAACATTAATTGTTTATAATTAATTTAGGATTTATTACAATTCAATTAATGTTTTGAAGATGCATTTATCCAAAGAAACTTTGCGTTAACACTTTCAGATAATGAACACAGTTGGTTTGTTTACACAGTTTCAAGCAGCAAGACAGCTAAAACAGTATTAAAAAGCCTTTGTGTACCTCTATTGGCTTTTATACAGTAATAAAAGGTTTATTTTTCAGAAATAAGAGACTATGGGATTGACAAATTTTCACTCTCTGGAGCATGAAGCAGTAGCCTCAGGCAGATATTGTTTAGCACACAGTGCTGTATTACTGTGTAAAGCGCATAGCATTCAACTTTTTTTTTTAATAGCTGACTGCAATTACAAAAATATGTACACACACAAACACACATACACCCCCCATTGTTATGTAATCGATAAAATCCCAAGCACCTTCCTTTCTTATTTCCTCCTCAATACCAATGTACTCGATTATGAAAAAATAGAAAACTGTACTTATGTGCCATATAGCCCTAAAGTCTATTTTTCGTATAAAAACAATTATTTCAGTTAGTTAAAGGGTTTCATGCTGAAACAGATTTAAGCCATCATCATCTTGGAAACCGGCTAGCAGAGATCAATGCAAGTTTTATTTTAAGATGCATTATCAATGACTTACACTCATAATTTAACTCACAAAGATAATAAAACGAAAGATTATAAAACGAAATAAATAAAGTAGAGTAGGAAAACTTTAATGATATTGTCTGTCATCAATATAGTTCAGATTCACTCAACAGGAAAGAACTGTGATTAAAAAAAATAAATAAATAAAAATTTGATGAAAGCCTGGAATAAAATCTTTATTAAGTACATATGATGATTATGTTATAGGAATTTTAATTATGTCTGAAGGTGCCCTTACATTTACCATTGTGTGTTGCAATTCTGAAACACAATCCAGTGATTACAATAGCGTGCACCAGCCTAGTTACGGAAGTAAAAACTAAATCTGTTAAATTACACCACTTGTACATTTCTTTCTATTTTACAAGGATTCCAAATATTCTTTCGGCTTCAAACTAAAATCTGTAATGATGTGATTCACCTTTTACAGTAGCTTGCTTTCCTGATTCACAGAGGGACACAACCTCATTCTCCAGAACATCTTTGTTCACTATTCCGTGGTGGAATGATCTTCCCAAATAACTTCTAAATGCTGAAATCCCTGCTCTCCGCTGCGCACTAAACTGCATCCTACAAACAACAACAACAACAACAACAAATCCTCTATGTCTTCACTTTTCCTGTTTTAGCTTGTACTATTCTAAACAATGTCTTAAACATACGTCTAACTAACACTTGTATGCTTATTGGCCTCTTTATAATAATTTGTATGATAAATTCATTGGCTAACTTTTTTTGCCCAATTAAATATGGTAAGGGGATGGCAGTTCATAGTGTAAATGCATGTATAATTCAGCTATGATATGCATCTGAAGTTCTACACATCGGGACAGATTTTGACTTATTAATCAATCTTCTGTGATGAAACATTAAATGCTGTGAGTTTCTATAGAGCTTATCATATACGAGTACACCCCTCACAAATTTCTCTTTTAATTTAAGATTTTCTATAGAAAGCTATACAATATTATATTGGTGCGTGTACAATATATTAGTCAGTACTGAAGCCAAACCTGGAGCTTATCTAACTTAAAAAACTGATGATAATGGTCCAAATGTTAGTACACAGAAATGTATATGTTAGGAAAAAAATATTAAATAAAATGTAAAAAAATACATAATAATAAAATAGGAAAAAATCAAGAGACAAAAAAAAATAAACAAAGTTGAAATTTTGTAGTTTGTAATTTATTAAAATGTGAAATTAAATGCGTTATCTTTCTATTTCTAAAGGTGTTAATTGACCAAACTCTTATTTTGATGAATATAAATGTTTATTAAATCAGTTTTGTTCAAATACAACCAAAATACAGTATATTGCCTATTTTCTAATATATACAAACATGGGGTGTACTCATTTATGCTGAGCAATGTATGTCAGTTGCTTTATGCCTTTTAACATGTTAAATCCAGATCTAATAGTTCAAAGAAGCAAACTAATTTAAAATGAAGTATAAGGCTGTTGATAACTGACATATCATCATGGTTTCCAAAGCAAATATAATGAGCTAAATGGGAATGGAGACAATAGTGGGCAGCTCTCCTATAGGTGGAGGGTTGTACTTCTCAACGCGCATGAGTCGACGGAGAATATCATCACGATCCCTGGGCCAGGTGAAGATCTGCGTGCCTTGAAGCCATGAAGGGACGTGGCACTGACAGACAGAAGAAATGTAAAATTAGCATCTGCACTAGATTTAAGTGGAATCCAATGGAATAATCCTTCAGGTTTTAACGTAATACTGTACAAACATCCACAAATGTCTACTGGTATTATCATAACGGTTCATTGTAAATTAGTATCTTAGCTTCATAAGCAAGTACTTGTTTAAACAAAAACATTCTTTTCATTAAGTAAATGTTTTTCTCCACAGAGATACAGTTTTTTACCTTTTTGGCACCGGGAAACAAGATGGGGATGAATCTGTAATTCCTGGCTCCATTCTGAATGAATTCGTTTTGTAACTAAAAGACAAGAGTGCTTGTTTCAGACAATTGGCAAGATAAGTAAAGTAACACCTAGATTTAGTTCCATACAAGCTGTACCTGTTTGTGTATGTAGACAGTGTTGAGCGTTTCATCGTTTTCCATGCAAAAGGAAGCATTGGTCACAATCTCGTGGTACTTTGGGCTAATGACTATGATAATCAGATAGTCTTTCTGTGCAGAGGAAACGCATATAAATTAGACAACTGAATGGAGAAGTTACCTCAGGTAATGAAAAGTTCACATTGCAACTACTGAAACTAGACAAGCAGAGTTTATCTTTCCCACTTCAGCAAGCTACAAAACTGTTTTGCATAACTGTTTTGCCAGAAATGTGTCCTACTCCACTTGATGTCTTAATTAAAGTTACATTTCAGGGTTATAAGTTTTTTATTGCTTGGCCTAATTTCTTCCCACTCAAAAAGCATCGTATTAATGTTTAGTTGGATTTTTCCCCTCTTGTCATACATTTCTAAGCTTTGCTCACCAACTGCAGAAGCCAACAAATTCAGCAGTCTTTATGCAAAACAAAAACACCGTCCTCCATATAATCACCCACATTTCCAGAGTTCACACTTAGCTGATGATTAGTAAAAAGGCATGTTTGGCTCCCCTGAGTTCAGAAGATCCTCGAGCTGGGGGCTTCATCCCGTTTCGTAGAGCGAGAAGGGAGTTTGAGCTCAGGTAGGTCTCAAGAACTCCCCTGAATTCATTCTTTTGCCCTGTTCTTTGTTTATTGGAGAACTAAGTTCAGTACTAAATGCTTATATATGGTGCCAATTTGGTTTAATTAATTAATTCACTTATACTACATGTCTTTAGACTATAGGAGGAAACTGGAGTACCCCGGGGAACCCACATGAGCACGGGGAGAACATGTAAAACACACGGAAATGCCAACTGGCCCAGCCAGAACTTGAACCGGTGACATCCTTGCTGTGAGGCAACAGTGCTAACCACTGAGCCGCCGTGCCACATTGTCCTGAAATAATCTAGGACAGGGTGCCCAAACTCGGTCCTGGAGGGCCGGTGTTCTGCAAAGTTTAGTTCCAACCCCAATTAGGCACACCTGAACTAGCTAATCAAGCTCTTTCTATGTATACTTGAAGCTTCCAGGCAGGTGTATTGAAGAAAGTTGGAGCTAAACTATGCAGGACACTGGCCCTCCAGGACTGAGTTTGCGGACCCCTGATCTAGGAAAAAGGGAGTGGATGTGGGGATTCTTCGAGACGAAAATAACTATGGTAAGAATATCTGGTATTTTATAGTGAGTTTGGATTGATCTGATTAGTAAATCATGTGATAGCTGATACAGGACCAGCCGTGGTCAATCATAAAGGCATGATCCTCTTGAAACTAGTTCATAAATAAACTTCCTTTTTGTGTATATCTCAGAAAATGCTCAAAATTTAAAATAAATATATCTATAATTAAGAAGACATGTTATCAGTAAGACAGAATAAAACTCTTTACATTTTACTCAAACACATAACTATAAATTGGTCACAGAGATCTCTTAACTGGTCTTTTTACTGCCAAACACAGACGCACACTGAAAGTGGTTCAGTTTCTCAGCACAAATGAAATCGTCTAAAAGCATTCACTTATTTGAAAGAGAATACACGATTGTGTGGCCAACTATATGTCAGGGATCAATGCTTGACATTTACTAAATTTATAAGGTTAAACGGTGACATTTTTTAGACACAAAATGTCAATAAACTTGAAGGAAATATGAGATTGGTAAGAACTGAAGTCATCTTCAGTAAATGAGACCTCAGCAGGTCGTATGTGTTGACAATAAAAAGCAAATATTGCTTTTTTTTTTTTTTTTTTTTTTAAATGCGAACTGTTAAGCAAGTTCTTCCAGCTGCACCCAGTCTGTTTAGAAGGTTATAAAATACTGTAACTCATTTCCTTCAGGCAAAGGTAATCCTAATAAACTGGTCATTGAGTTTATAACCTTAACCAAGGACACATTGAACATAAAAATAATTAAACAAAAAAAAAAAAGAGAGGAAGCACTACATTCACATGTGATTTAATGCATGATATTATTCATCTCACATAACAAATCATTATATACATGATAATATTAATCAAATACAATATATGTGATATCATCTGACAAATGTTATGTTATTTCTGTAATGGAAAAAAATTAATGTAATATGTTTGTAATATAATTATATTATACATTATATTATACATTGACAGGGTTTGTGAGAATCACACATTCAGTTCTGTAAATTTGTATGTCATTTTCTCTGTATATTTCTCTGTATATTTGTGTGTTAATAACACAGACTTTACCACAGAATTCTTATTTCAATCTGGTCCTTTAACATGATATTATCTTTCCAATTAACCTACTCCTACATTATACAAATTATAAATTAAACAAAGATGACCAGCATTCTTTTTTTAAGTCTTTCAACTTCAAACTTTAACATTTAACTGCTTTTCCAATAAATTTTGTGAATTTTGATCAGTTTTCATTCAAAACCACTGTTTTTATTCAGTGTTTATGGTACATTAAAACAAAAACCTTTTGGTTGATTTACAGTTTTCACACTACTTTAGTTGTTGAATAAAATAAACCTAGCACCATTTTTAATGTTTAAAGGGACAGTTTGCCCAAAACTGAAAACTCTGTCGTCATTTATTTATTTGTGTTTTTTTTTCTCTGTTTATTGAGCACATAAGTTATTCTGAAATAGAATCGAAGCCTGTAAATGCTGACATCCATATTATTGTTTTTTTCCTATACTATACTGCTGGGCAATATGGCCCATTATGATACGATAAATGCCAAATCTTTATATCTATCAGTTTTGAACGGTTTTCAGCATGATAATCCCTTTGTGGCGCTGATTTAACACATTTTGTGAAATGTTTTAGCTGTCTGACAATATAAATAAAACTAATAAAAAAATGAACAATCTTAATTGAGCATTTAAAAAATACATTAAAATTAAGTTATACAACGAAATTTGTTGCAAAAAGATACATTTTCAAAGAAAAACATATAAAGTGTATATATTTTTTTGTCCGTGCCCATCTTAAACAACTGCAGTGGATGATGTTTCGCTCCGTGGAAAAAAAGGATTTAATTAATGATCACTGTTGTGGTAATCATTTGTCATATATTTGTTGCATTTTAATGTTATTATTTTAAAGATTACAGTTTGAGCATCTGATTTCTCCTCGATGATTATGTTCTTTAAATACACAAAGGCTGGTTATTTTACCATCTATGAGGGTATTGCAGATTTTAAGAAAATATTTTAGTATTAAAAGGGAAACATAAGCTTGACAACAAAAATCCTATCAATGTGGTAACAAATGCCCTTAAATAATGCAGCCTGTAGTTTACAGCAAGCATCAAGTGTTCAGTGAGATTGTGTTGTCTATCATATCTTTCGTCTGTCTTTTCGGGGGGTTTTCTCGTAAGGCATGGCTTTTGAAAATGATGACATGAAAGTTGAAACTCTGCTGGGTAGTTGCACTGGTTTACCAACACTTGTTTGGGTCTGTGATTTTTTTGTTTTAACTGATGAAACAGGTTTGCCTGCTTTTGATGACATGAGTCGTCTGTGTAGTTTGCAGTGCACATTGCTCTGTTTTGTGTCGGATTGCAAAAAACTAAGTACAGCAGCTCCAGACTACTGACTATTAGTGACATTTTTTGTCAATAATGTCTCTGACTGTGACCTTTTTACCTTATTTTTTTCTTACTCCTCCAAGTGCAAGTAACACTGTGTGGCTGTACCCTTGTACTGCGTGCAGCATCCGGAAGTGCAGGCTGCAGATTGCCTGTGCAGCATTATGCGTAAATATTATCAAACAGTAATTATTGTCTTAGCAAAGAAATATATATCGTGATAATTATCATTATTGAATTATCGCCCAGCCCTAATAGAAATCAATTATTACAGGTTTATAACATTTTTCAAAATATCTTATTATGTGCTCAACAGAAAAAATAAACTCGTAGAGGTATGGCACCATTAAGGGTGAGTCAATTTATTTTTGTGCGTGAACTATCCCTTCAAAAGCAATAAAAAAGTGACATTTCTGTGCACTGCATTCAACTGAACACAATAGTAATTGCTTAGCTGATAAAATGTTTTGAAAGGTGTAAAAAGATTACTAATCAGTACTTTCGAACAGCGTGTCCAATTGTACATTTCTCTAAGCCTAATTTTTTCAGCCTGATTATTTTAACAATATAATGTCTAAGCTGGCTATAAGCGGGAACGTATAACCAGACCTTCTGTGATGCAAATCAAAGTAAGAAAAAGTTGACTTACTTCGCTGATGTATCTCTCCATGAAGTCAATCTTGCTTATGCTCTTGAACTGCTGCTCAAACATGTCAATCTGTGCAGAAAGAACAAATCGGCTGAACCTGATTTCTGACAGAGCCCATATCAATGACAAGCATGGCTGCAAGGCAATGTTTGGCACAGGTTGCTAGTCTTACGTGAGTGTAGAAGCCATTGTGTCTCAGCAGGGCGACAAAGTTGATGATCTCTTTGACATGTTTTTCGCTGTCTGCTTCGTAAGTAACAAACACCTTCCCTGCAATCATGAAAAGTGAGAAAGAAAACAGTTCCAGAAATATAACTCAAGATTATATTAGACAGACAGACTGACGGATTGATAGACAGACAGATAGATATTTTGTCAAACATTTCAATATATATATATATATATATATATATATATATATATATATATATATATACTGTAATAAATGTTTTGTTCATTGCTTGATTATGTTTGCAAATACATGAACTAATTGTAAAGTGTTTAACATTAATTTTGAATAATTTGAAAGAGACTGCAACTTCTGTTCCAACATTTTTATTGTAATTAAACTCAAGAAGACAACATCTGCTCATTTTTATCGCTGTCGAATGAATATATAATATGTATATTGAATTAACACGTCGCTTAATAATGATAAAATGTTTAAATGACTAAAATTGAAAAATGTCACTTTAAATAATTGTTTAGAATCGAATCATAGAAAATGACACTTCATTTAATTTTCTGGACATTTCATCGAGGCTCATTTAACCCATTTAAGCCCACTGGCAACTATAGCTGCTGAAGTTCACGGTTGCCATTTTCCTTTTATAAGTAATTTTCTACATGTTGTTCATATTTAATTCCTCAATGACGTGCAAGCAAACAACCAAATAAAAGATTTCAAGAAAGAAAACAGGAATTGATTTACTTCCTGTCACATGACTTCTTCAACTTCCTACCCTTAATTCCAGGATGTAAAATGGAAGCAAACCCTCCCAAATAAAGGCAAATTTCATGTTACTAAAAATATATATTTTTTGCTTTTTTGATAACCCATCTAAACATAACATAACCATTTTACTGATATCTTTACTTCAAAGTAATATTTCTTGATACACAATTTGATAGCTAAATCCTCAGAGTAAAATTAACTTCTCCCACTGGTTTCATATTCATGAAATTATTCATTCATTCATTCATTTTCTTGTCGGCTTGGGAAATCATGGAATTATATGATAGATCATTTTCGGGGGTTCATATCAAATGGTTTTCTAATTTTAAAGATAATAAATGTTATATGGGGCGGCCCTGTGGCACAGTGGGTAGTGCTGTCACCTCAGCAAGAAGGTCATTGGTTCGAGCTTCAGCTGGGTCAGTTGGCATTTCTGTGTGGAGTTTCCATGTTCTCTCCATGTTCGCGTGGGTTTTCTCTGGATGATGCGGTTTCCCCCACAAGTCCAAAAACATGCGCTGTAGGTAAATTGGGTAAGCTAAATTGTCTGTTTGTAACGATGGAGTGTATGGGTGTTTCCCAGTGATTGGTTGCAGTTGAAAGGGCATGCGCTGCGTAAAACATATGCTAGATAAGTTGGCGGTTTATTCCGCTGTGGCGACCCCAGATTAATAAAGGGACTAAGCCAAAAAGGATACGAATGAATGAATGAAAGAATGAATACTGCTACTTTTGTCCCAACATCCTTCATTCATTCATTCATTCATTTTCTTTTCGGCTAAGTACCTTTATTAATCCAGGGTCACCACAGCGGAATGAACCGCTAACTTATCCAGCACGTTTTTCGCAGCGCATGGCTTTTCAGCTGTACCCCATCTCTGGGAAAAACACTCATTTACACTCATACACTATGGACAATTTGGCTTACCCAATTCACCTGTGGTAAGGCAAGGCAAGTTTATTTATATAACACATTTGAGACTAGTCTGTAATTGCTCAGTAGGGTGTTATAAGAAGGTTGCTCTTCTTCAAGAGGGGTTTAACAACTTTTTAAAAGTTTTAAGTGAGTTTGGAAAAATCCCTGAGAGAAGTGAAGCATTTACCACTTTTAAAAGATCCATTTCTAAACAGGTAAACAACGTTTTAAAGAATGATGTGGCGAGCGTGTCAAGACTGCAGGTTGATGTTTTCATAACTTGCACAATTTCTTCTAAGATTTCACCATTAATTGCCATGAAATCAGACATAATGTCTGATTTCTTAAGTTGTGGTTGAGCTTGTTTGACGTCGACACAACTTGGCAGATTGGATGAACTGATTGCCTTTCTGATATTATTGATCTTATTAGTAAAGAAATGAGCGAACTCATTACATTTGCTTTCAGAGAGTAGCTCACTGGGAATCCTACTGGGGGGGTTTGTGAGTCTCTACTGTTGCAAAGAGTGTACGAGCATTATTTACAATGTTATTTATAACGTTTGAAAAGAAAGTTTGCCTAGCAGTTTTTAGTTCCACATTAAAAGCATTAAGACTGTCTTTATAGATATTATAATGGACTACAAGTTTCGTCTTTCTCCACATTCACATTAAGCTTTTCTGCATTGTCTTTTCATCATTTGGACTGCTCTTGAAGTTTCTCCAAGGGGCTCTCTCTTTGCCAGTTCTCTTCCTGACTTTAACAGGAGCAATGTCATCTATGACAATCTTAATTTTAGAGTTAAACAAATCAAGGAGAGAATTAACAGTCTTCAGATATGATTGGTGCTAGTGATATGGCCTTCATAAACTGCTCACTAATGTTCTCATTTATGCATCTCTTTCTGACAGAGACAGATCTGTCTTTAATAGCTGGAGTGATCAATATATCGAAGAAATTATAGAAATGACCAGATAGTGCAACATCCTTAACAACAGTCGATGAAATGTGTAAACCCTTAGTATGTCTTTGGACTGTGGGGGAAACCAGAGCACCCGGAGGAAACTCACGCAAACACAGGGAGAAAATGTAAACTCCACACAGAAACGCCAACTTACCCAGCCAAGGCTCGAACCAGCGACCTTCCTGCTGTGAGGCGACAGCACTACCTACTGCGCCAATGTGTCACCCTGTTCCAACTTATATAGTGTAATTAAACTCAAGAAGGCAACATCTGCTAATTTTTATTGTTGTTGAATGAAAGGGATATGTACAGTATATGAATTTACACATTACTAAATATAATAATAAAATGTTTAAATCACTAATATTTTTTTTTTTACTTTAAATAACTGTTTAGACATTTATAAAACAATATTCATAGACAATGACACTGTAATTTCATATTTTCCCCTTATTTTTTTTCTGGTCAGTTTCATTCGGGTTCATTTAACCCATTAAGCCCACTGGCAACTATAGCTGCCGAAGTTCAAAGTTGCCATTTTCCTTTTAAAGTAATTTTCAACATGTCGTTCACATTTTAATTTATTGATTCACATGAGGCCTTCAACTTCCTACTCTAATTCCAAAATGCATAATGGAGGCAAACCCTCCCAAATAAAGGCAAATTTCATGTTACTAAAAATATTTGTTTTGTTCACAGATCAACATAATCATGAAGGTTCCAACCAAATAAAGTCTTTCAAGAGATCTATAGTTTTTTGAATACTTTCTCAAAAGTTCAAGCAACAACTGTAGTTGCCGAAGGGCAAATACCTTCTAAGTGCATAAATTATGGGGAATTAGAGAATGTGTTAATAAGTAATAAATCAAGGTTATTGGTCTTGATTGATGTTTTTTGATTTCATAATACCCCATCTCATCATAACCTAACCGTTTAATTAATGTTTTTTAATTTAAAGTAATCTTTTTTTGATACACAATTTGATACATAGCTAAATCCTCAGAGTAAAATCAACTTCTTCCACTGGTTTCATATTCATGAAATTATATAAAAGATCATTTTCAGGGGGTTATATCAGATGTTTTTTTTTTTCAAATGTTAAACATAATAAATGCAATTATTGATATGAATTGATATATCAAAATCAGTTGTTTTGAGTTAGAATACCAAATGTTCTCCTCCTATGCCAATTTTACATTGAAGGGTTCTTATAACATATTTGCCCACCTGCAATTATAGTTGCAGCATATTCAAATACGATTTTCTTGAAAAAACAAAAAACAAAAACATGGATAAAATAAATGCAAAACATGTTCATATAGGACACTATTAACAAAGCTACATGCATGAAACCATTTTTTAAAATGTGGGCACAAAAGAATTAAATGGACATGTCATGAAGTGAAGGGGACATACAACACCTTTATAATGCCCATAAAAGTGTTTCCATTTCTGACAGTCTTTTTTTACATTATTTCTGAATGAATTTATAAAGCATGACAGAAATAGTGTTCATTACAATCAGGTTTTACTTCAAAGAAGAACATATAACATGTTGACAGGTGTCACTGGGCTTTTTTTCTTCCTTATTAATTTAGTCTAAGCTTACTGGCACGCATCCTACTGAAATTCCACATGCTTTTAGTGTTGCACAACAATAGTATGTTTACTCACTCTGCTCCAGGGAAAGAGGAGCTGTACTTGGGGTTAGTTTAGCGCCATGGTGAGAAGAGGTGTAGCCACTGTGGGACATAAGAGTAATGCTTAAAAATACCTCAGAAAAACAAGTTTAATGCATTACAGAAAATCAACAGAATGTAAAATCATCAACAAACCATCCAACACATCAACAAACCATTATATGTTACCTATGAGTGAACTCTGAAGCTGACTGTCTGCTGTTTTCAGGGCCTGTCAGACAGGAAATAATTGAGAAAATTATCTGCATGCAGTTCGAAATGTTTTGTTATAATCCGAAAAAAAACCAACAACAAATGAAATCATATTAAATGAAGAAAGTAGAAATATATAAATATACAGTTGAAGTCAATATTATTATTAGCCCGACTTAGATTTTTTTTTTCCTAATTTAAATATTTCCAAAATTATGTTTAACAGAGCAAGGACATTTTCACAGTATGTCCGATAAAGTTTTTTCTTCTGGAAAAATATTTTATTTGTTTGATTTCTGCAAGAATAAAAGTAGTTTAAAATTTTTTAAAAACTATTTTAAGGTAAATATTATAAGCCTCTTAAGCAATTCTTTCCTGATTGTCTACAAATCGAAACACCAAGAACAAACAACTCTTATACAATAACTTGCCTAATTACACTAATTTGCCTAGTTGACCTAATTAATCTACTGTAGTTAAGTCTTTAAATGTCACTTTAAGCTGAATATTAGTATCCTGAAAAATATTTACTAGAATGAACTTACTTTATCTACTTTAGAAATGTGTTGACATTTTTCCCATTAAACAGAGATTGGGGAATCAAATTTACAGGGGGTCTATTAATTTTGACTTTAACTGTACAGGTGAAGTCAGAATTATTAGCCCCCTTTGAACTTTTTTTCTATTATAAATATTTCCCAAATTATGTTTAACAGACCAAGAACATTTTCACAGTATTTCTGATATTTTTTTCTTTTGGAGAATGTTTAATTTGTTTTATTTCGGCTGTGATAAAAGCAGTATTTCATTTTTTTAAAAACATTTAAGGTCAAAATTATAAGCCCCCTTTAAGCTATATATATATATATCTAGATACAATAGTATTTACTGTCATCATGGCAAAGATAAAATAAATCAGTTATTAGAAATGAGTTATTAAAACTATTATGCTTAGAAATATGTTTAAAAAAATCTCTCTGTTAAACAAAAATTGTGGAAAAAATAAACAGTGGGGGCTAATAATTTATGAAGGCTAATAATTCTGACTTCAACTGTAGAAATCTGATCATATGAAGGCAAGTAAGCTGAAATCTGTTTTATTACGAATACATGTCAATAATACAAATGTAAGTATGTAAATCTTCTAAAAACATTTTTGTTGCAACACAGCTTAACTTTAACCGTGTCAAACGACCATGGGAGGAATAGGAGTACTAGTTATGAATAAACATAAATGAAAATACCAAATGGACATAATTAAACATGCTTAAACTTTTATTAAATAAAACGGTCTTTAAAAATAATTAAATTTAATAATAATAAAACAGTGAATTACATAGGAGTTGTAAACAAACAAATTCATGATTTTTAAAAAACTATACTTTAAAATAGTCAATTAAAATAACAAAACAGTAAATTAAAAGTCATTTTTAAATGCAGATTGTAAGTAGCAAGTTAAGAGTCCCTGATAGTCAAACTATTGTTGGAATAGAAGATAGTTCATTTGTTTATTACAACAGGAATTTCATGTTGTGTTGCGTTTCTTTATGCAAATGAGGGTCATACAAGTAAGGATGATGTTTGAAACGTTCGTTATGTTTTATGCAGAGTATGGTTTGCACAAAAAGATAAAAGATTATTTCAAACATGATTCAACTATTCCAGTAGATTTAACTTTTAAAGTATGTCAACTAACTGTGCATGGTTAGTGAATAACATCTCAGTTTCTGCCCTGAAGTTCTGCACACAAAAAAGTGAAGCAACAGTCAATTCATTCAGGTTTATCTAAATCATAATCTTCAGTCACCAATGTGAATCTTAGCTTTAAAATGAAAACCAGTCACTCAGTCTGACAATATAATTGCACAAATTGAACCGTGTTGGATAATACCCAAAGGCTTGATTTAAAACCTCAACATGTACAGTATGAGGTCATTTTAAAGACACCAGGGCTTATGTCAATGTGTTTGTAGCTTGTAAGGTAAAAAAGAACAAAAAAAAAAAAAAAATGACCATTTCAAATATGGTTTAGCTATTGCTATAAATTTAACTTTTATCTAAAGTAGACTGTGTATGGTCGGTGAATAACAAGTAGGTTTTTCCACTAAAACGCCGTACAGAAAAATGATGCAACTCTGTGAATTTTTTTTCTGAGCCTTTATCTAAATCTTAATCTTCTGCCACCAAGATTAGTTTTACATGTTAAAAATGAAACCAGTTGCTCAACCTGACAGTATAATTGCAGAAATTTAATCAGGTTGGAAATTTGCTGTAGGGTTTATGAAAAACTTCAAAACATGCGGTATGGTATAAGGACATTTTAGGAACAGTTCACCCCAAAAATAAAAATTTACTCATCATTTACTCCCTCAAGTGGATCTAAACCTTTATGATCTACTTTTTTCAGTTGAACACAATTTAATATATTTTGAAGAATGTTGGTAGCCTGCAAAAATATTAATAATATAAATAATTATTATAATTAGAGTTTATAATATTCATTTATTCATTTTCTTTTCGGCTTAGTCCCTTTATTAATCTGGGGTCGCCACAGAAGAATGAACATCCAACTTATCCAGCATATATTTTATGAAGCGGATGCCCTTCAAACCACAACCCATCGCTGGGTAACACACACTCAGATACTAGAGTCAATTTTAGCATACTTAATTCACCTATATCACAACTTAGATCACGTACATAGATATATACACTAGATATCGCATAGGGACCCTGAGCATGCGTCAATAGCGCCGCCATGTTTGTACAGTGCTCCCAGGACAAGTGTCATTCAACTGCACTAGTCAAGACAGTGCTATTATGTGAAGATGCTAGACTTTAACGCTGTCGACGGGTGTAGTGTAAGAGGCTAAATTATCATATGCATTTGTTTATATGACAAAACATGCTTTTTGACTCAAGAAGGTCCATACTGACTACAAAGGCAGATACTGATAAGATCAGGGCCTGTTGTGTGGTCTTTGGGGGTTTTATGGTGTGGTCACATGTTGATTGGTCAGTTTGAATGTCTTGGATGGCTTTAGTCACATGGTCAAGAAAGATACAATATAGGTGGTAAACTCGAGCTCTGTCTCTTTTCCTGGCCTGATTCTCTCCTGCTCTGCTCCTCTCCTCCTCTGGAGTCTATCTTCTCTGACTCTACTGCAATCAGGCTTTTGGGCCTGCTCTTTGTCTCTCTCTCTCCCTCCCCCTGTGTCTCTCCTTCTACCTCTGGTAACTTTAATTTTACATTTAAGCTGGGTACAATTAATATCATATGTTTTATCATTTCATATTTTATCATTTTATACAGTATTTTGTTATTAATTCAGTTGTAATCATAGAGAATTATTGTCATTAAATCATTTCATTTTCAAGTATTTGTGAATTACTTTTGATTTAACATCAACACTTAATTGTTCCATATAGCAATACAATACAATTACATAATATCAACGCTCTCCCACATTTATAGCTATTAATACTGCCCTTATTTCCGTTTTTAGTATGAGATTGCAGAAGAATGGTTTGACTAGAAATGTACAGTTTTTTTTACCATCATGCTGATTACTTTTTAGTCGCTCGGCAGAACTACAGTTCGAACCGCTGTGGTTTAAAGACCGTTCTTACAGTAGTAACAAGCAAACAAAGAAAACAAAGCACAAAGACAGAACATTTAAGAGGTAAGATTTCGTTTTTTTTACGTTTTTGTATGTTATGAACTTTTGTGCTAAATTGGTAATGTTATGATGATACAGTCTTTGCATTCACCATAAGCCAAAGTAGCACCAACTCGCACTAAACACTTTTCTTATGCTAGTTTTGTTGAATAAAATCAGCAAACAATGAAAAAGAAATATGACGAGATGCAGCGGTGCCAGAAATTTCTATTATTGTCGGCTCCGTAAAGGAGTCGTTCATAACGGAGATTTATTCACAAACGAGTCGCTCCCTCAGTCAGTATGAGAAGTGAAAGCAGGAGAGAGGCTGTTTCAGGACATGATTAGATCAAAGGTGGATAGAATATTTACATACACACAAACACAAGCTTGTTGTCATGCCTGTGTGATCACTTATCCATCAATGTAGAAAAGTGATGTAAAATTATAAGTTTCGTAATTTAAAAAAAATAAAAAAAAATAAAAAACTCCCTATAGATGTGTGTATATGTTTTTAATTCTCTGGCTCTGGATGGCCACAGTCCTCCACTGCAGCTTGGGTGCACATTCATTTCAAAGGAGCGCTACCCTGTACTAAAATGGCGGCTCTATTGACGCATTCCGTCTAATAGACAAAAACAGGGTAGGCGACATCTATTGTATATATCTATGGATCACGTATAGAACATGCAAACTCCACACAGAAATGCCAACTGACCCAGCTGAGGCTCGAACCAGCAACCTTCTTGCTGTGAGGTGAACGTGCTACCCACTGCGCCACTGTGTTGCCAGAGTTTATAATAATATATTATTATTATTTTTATATATTTTTGATAGTGAAGTCAAAAAGCAATCAATCAACAGCAACATTTATTAAAGATATATTCCATAGTGTATAAAAATGAAGAGTGAGTATATGATGATTCTTTGTATTCTTTGCTCTAACAAGAAGGCTACAGACCATGGCCTCTAGTGTCTGTAGCTACAGCTACTTTTGAGCTCAGAGTAGTGAGGTTTCCCTGCATAGCACTTGGCTAGCTGGCCTCTGTTACACTCACCCTCCTAAACCTCACTTCCATAGTGTATAAGTTGCTAGTTGCTAGATAGTTGCTCTATCAAGGAGGCTAAAGATCTTTTGCACCTTTTGAGGTTAGAGGAGTGAGGTTTACCTGCATAGCACTTTGCTAGCTGGCCTCCGATGCATTGGTTAAAGCACAGTTGTGTGGCAACAGTGAGTGAATATAGCCAGCCTCTAATGGTAAAACTGTATTAGATCTATTTTTAGAATCGCATTCCATAAAAAGAAGTCTGTAGAAACACTTTGATTGACATTTTTCCTTTGCACTTTTTATCAGAGGGGGAAAGCACCAGCCATTGTTGACAATCTCTCCCTTAAGGCTGATTTATACTTCTGAGTCGAGCGTATTTGTATGCTAAAGCGCAGCCTATGCGATGACGCATAGCCCTATGCCATGGTCATCTGCGTCGCTGACGCCCACCTCTCAAAAAATTAAACTACACGTTGCACTGACACGTAGCGCAAGCTCTGTGATTGGTTGGCTCGGTACAACCGACGAGTCTGGGCAGGACCGAGAGCCGCGCGAGCCCGAAGGAGCGAGTGTTTACAAGTGTGGAGTCCCATGAAGAAGCTCCGAATGGAAAGTTTTGTTTGGGTATTTACCGCATGGTAGAGCTACACGATTCTGGCTAAAATGAGAATCGCAATTTTTTTTACTTAAAATAAAGATCATGATTTTTTTACGATTCTGTAGATGTAAAATAAAGGTATGGTGAAAACAAACATATGGCACAACCTCGATAATAATATTATGTTTAGGTCTACTGGTTTCTATAAATAATTCTATTCTATATTAATCTTTTCTTATAATAATTCTTCTGTTGAATTATTATGTTTAAGATATATGCTTGCAATCTGTCATATTAGACAATTTAATTCACTTGTAAAATTAGACATTTGCCATTATCAGATTATATTCAACAATATATAGGCTAGAGTAGTTACAATGACATTGTAAACATTTATTTTCATACACAACTGTGGGTTCGCTATAGGGTTACCACTTTTGATACACAAAAAGAATTTAAATTGTTGGGGTGGACTATCCCTTTCTGGAGGCTTTTAACATATTGTCATTATTCATTGTTTTTACAGTCTTGACCAACAATTGTTCCAAGGAAAATACAGAAACATTCATACCAGATATGGAATTAGAATGAAGAATCACAACTTACGAGAAGCCCAATGATGCATGTGGTAATGCGGCCTGTAATGAGAGCCTTGATCCATCTGACACATATCTGCAGGGTAATGACTGAGACAGGGCGGTCCGTGGAGGTGCTGAGGCAGGCAGTAACTGTGAGGCGTGAACGCAGTAGGAATAGAGTGCAATGAGCGCGGCTGTTCGAGACTCCCCTCTCCAACACTGTGCCTGTCTGGAGAGCAGGAGTAGCAAGAATCGCCAGGATAATTGGGGTAATTTCCAGACACCAAACAAGAGGGGGGGTTTCCACTAGGGTATTCGACCAAACTGCTGCTCACCGAGTGCAGCTCTCCTTTGTGCGGCTCGAAGGTGCTCAGACATGCTTCTGTCTGGCTGGGAAAAGGCGTCTGGGGATTGTACCCAGAGGGTAGACCTAATGGAGGCTGGTAAGGGCTGTAGTTGGTCTGTGTGGGTCTGTAGTTGGTCTTTCTGTCACTGCAGATATTTACGAAGTCAGCCTGAGTGCTGAGAGAAGATTCACTGCCAGACATGCAACATCCGGCAAGAGAAAGTTGAGAATCTGTGAAGTCTGAGTCACAGACAGAATCCTTAGTATTGATTTTATCCATAGTCTCGTCGTTCTCTTCTGGAAAGTTGAGGGATTGTTGACCGTAGTGGGCAAATGGAGAAGTATACCTAGATGTGACAAATTCAGTGATGAACAAGACTCAAGTTTTGACAATTAACTGTGATGTTATCCTTTAGCGTCTGAGTTTAAAAAAAGCAACACAGAGATGATATTGTTGTAGCTTGCAGATTTACTGGTATTTATTAATAATGGCAATGTGTTTTAGTCAAACAACTTTCGTGAAGCTTAAAAAAATAAAACCATTAAAAAAAAACATTGTTTATGAATTACAAAAAAAAAAATTATAATAAAAATAATTAAGTTTGCTGAATAAACAATAAAGACAAAGGGAGTCTCAGGCCATTCACCAGTTTTATGACCTGAAAACTTGTTTTTAACATTTGGTAACACTTTAGAATAATGGTCTGTTAGTTAATGTATTAACTAACATTAACCAAGTATGAATAATCTTGTAAAGCATTTATCAATCATAGTTCAACATGAGCTAATGCATTATTAAAATCCAAAATTGTGCTTGTTAACATTAACCAATGCACCATGAGTCAATGTGACCTCCTTGCTGTGAGGTGACAGCACTACCTACTGCTCCACCTCATTCGTGTTAGTAAATATGTTAAAAAAAATTAACTAATGGATCATTATTTTAAAGTGTTACCTTAGTTTTGATTGTAGTTATATACTTCTTATTGAACATATTATCTTTACTTTGATCTTGCTGTTTTACTTTTAGGTTGAAACATTCAAAACTAAACTGACAATTCAACTGTGTTTAGTAACATTTAAACCTATGGCTTTCATCATAACAGTGTAATTATAATGTAATTAAAAATGAACTAAATTATCAATATCAATAAATGCATTATATTCCAGTTAAAATACTTAATGTTGAGTTTTGTTTGTATGAAAATAGTTCATACAGTCCCTGATTTATTAGGAGTCGCCACAGCGAAATGAACCACCTATTACTCTCGCTTTTACAGTATTTACACAGCGGATGCCCTTCTGAGAAACACCCATACTCATACACTACAGCCTATTTGCAAACATGCAAACTCAAACTAGTGACTTTCTTGCTGTGAGGTGAAAGTGCTAAACACTGAGCCACTATTTTGCTGGTTAAAATAAGACCCCCCCCCCTCCCACACACACACATTTATATATATATATATATATATATATATATATATATATATAAATGTGTGTGTGCGTGTATATATATATATGTGTGTGTGTGTATATATATATATATATATACATATATACACACACACACACACACACACACACATATACATATATATATATATATATATATATATATATATATATATATATATATATATATATATATATATATATACATATATATATACACACACACACACACTTTTCTAAACATATTAGTTTTAATAACTCATTTCTAACTAATTTATTTTATCTTTGCCATGAAGACAGTAAATAATATTTTGCTAGATGTTTTTGAAGACACTTCTGTGCTCCTTTAAATGCCTCTTTCTTCCTCCGGAGGAAAAAATATTATCAGACACACAGTGAAAATTTCCTTGCTTTGTTAAACATAATTTGGGAAATATTTAAAAAAGAAAACTCCACCAAATATAACTCGCAACTAAATTTAAGACATTAAAAACGTGTTGCCAAGACATTTTCTATATTTCCCAAATACTTCCCATAGCTGTATGAATATTTATTGGTAATACATACTAACTAACTATGCATTTTTAATTAAACGTTTAATAATCCTGTATTCTTGGTGTGGAATGTATACATTACCTATTTGGTAAACTATGCAGGGAAATCATCATCCTTGCATTTAATATAGAAGAGCTGGAGCCATTTCATATCCCCAGCCAGCACACAAATCTGCAACAAGTGATTAATAAAACATTAACACAAATATCCTTGACTGATCATGATCCTACTGTTAGGTTTGAGAACAGTGGCAACCTTCACATCTGAAACACAAAACCCACAATCATGCTAAGGGGATTTTCTTTTCTTGGTGTGATGCTTTTTCTCTCAACTTACAGTATGATTTATCAGTGTACACAGTGGAAAACACCTCAGAATGTAGTGGGAACCAAAATGAGACATGCCAAGCAAAAAGCGTCTCAGAGATGGTACATCTCAATCTTTTCATTTAACTTGACAAAACAAAGTTATAACATGTCACGTTACCTGACTTGTTGAGCAGTAACGTTAGATGATAGACGCTTTTTAATGACAAAAGTATAAAGAAAAATTGAACTTTAACAAAGAACTACTTTCCAAAAAATACTGGTGTTCATTTCGCCTCGTGTTAGTTCATGCAGTAAAACTGAGCGCCGCGGGGCTCATGGCATAACTTCACTCAGGTAAACACTGCGACAGAAGCGAATGTTAACACCTTCCAAAAGTATTTTTTTTATTTAGAAAATATTATTAACCTAAATACAACAAATGTATAAACCCAACACTTATCTGTGGCACATATACCCTAAACCTAAGTTACTGTATTAAAAAAAATAAATAAATAAATAAAAAAACTGACGACCACACGTTAACCACATAAAACACACACGTACCTGTAGACCGATTTAGTCGCTTGAGGATTTAACTCCGGTCAAGGTCTAACAATAGTGTACAAAACCGCTCGGGACATTACTTCTTGTATAGAAGCGTCTGTTTGAAAGCTTCTCAACACCTGCAGTCACACGCTAAACTCCGCCCACTTCCCCGAAAGTACATCCTCCACCTACAGCCTTTGTTTATGTGTTTGAACCTGATGAACAAATCTTTCTTTCGACTCCTTTGAATGATTCTAAAGAACATATTCACATTTCACAAATGACTACATGGCATGAGTGCAACTGTGATCAGGTAAAAACACTGGTAAAATGCTGAATGAATCGAATAACAATGTGTTAGCTAACATAATAATATAGTTAAAAAAATGTGTTGCTGTAAATTAATAACATGTAGATCCACATGTAGTTGAATGTAGATGACTTTGACCAGAGAGAGAAAAAAACTTAAGAGTTTAGCTAAAATGACATATCAGTCAATCTTTTTTTACAACTAAAAATAGTCAATACACAAAATACATTACAATTTATTTGGTTTCATTTTAATTATAATGAAAAACCTGCAATAACATTTCCAGATAGAGAAGTGCATTATCATAGACATCTGTGGTTTGGTTTGCAGAGCTATGCTTTTTCTGAGTAAAACCAACATCCGAGATCTGACTCTGAACCAACAGCTTTTACACAATATGTTTGATTTCCCTGCTAAAAAAAACTGCTAAACCAGTCTATACTCTCAGAGACCAGCTAAAACCAGAGTGGGAGAACGGCCAAAACCAGCCTGGTCAGCTGGTTTTAGCTGTTCTCCCAGTCTGACCAGTCTGGTTTTAGCTGGTCTCCCAGTCTGGTTTGAGTTGGTCTCCCAGTCTGTCCACGTTGGTCTTACGGGGTATCACAGCCTGTTTTTTTTTTTTTTTTTTTTTTTTAAACTAGTTGGTAAAAGCAACTAAGACCAGCCTGACCAGCTAAAAAACAGCTAAGACCAGCCAGCCTGACCAGCTAAGGCCAGCCTGACCTACTAAGACCAGCTAAAAACTACCCAAAACCCCTCTAAAACCAGTCTGAACTGCTAAAACCAGCTAAGACCAAGCTGACCAACGAAGACCAGCTAAAAGTGTCCAAAACCCTCTGACAAACCAGGTATGACCAGCATAGGAAACCAGCTAAAACCAGCTTGGGTGACCAGCTAAAAGAAAAGAAAAAGCCTGACCAACCTAGGTTAAGCTGTTTTTTTTCAGTAGGGTTGTTTTTATAAAACTATGTATGGTAGATTTGTTGTATTTCTGTTTTTCACCTCTCCCAATGTAACACATTTGATCAATTATATATTTAGTTTTTACAGTGCATTAGATGATTTACACTTAATTTTTTTACCTTAAACAATAAAAATACAGTAAACTGACTATTAAAACAATGCTGCATTTGTTAACCAAGCTCTGGTTATTACGTGAAATCATGTACACAATTTACATTCACTCACTACACAAACAAAATAGTGCATGGATAGAGTATATGCGTCAGAGTTTACTGCAAAGTATCTACAGTGTTGTTGTTTCTCATTAAAAAGAGAGCATTGCTTTATTGCTTGATTACTACTCCGACAAATCTCTTGATGCCATTTCACCATAACTGGATGTACAAGAACAGATCAGTTCATTTCAAACCCCAAACAGACACTAGATGCGATTGTGAATTAACCCAAGGCGATCTGATGTGATCAGTCTCTTTGAAGAAATGCAGCAGGAGCTTTGTCAAGTCAACCTAATTACATATTTAGACACACTGACTTTCCTTTGGCTGGCAAAGCAAAACTCCAGCCAGTTTTTCTTTACAAGGAGGGCCTGAGGGTACTGATGCAATAGATCTTGGAGCTCCTGAAAAGAAAGAATATGGTGGAAAAAAGGGAATATTTAAGCATGGCATATTTCTGTTGCCAAATCTAATGCCAACAGATTAGTATTTATAAATATTAGCATAATGAATGTACCTGTTTATGGACTGGACTTTCTACCTCTCCTACAATATGAGTGACATGTGAGCTCATGAGATCCTCTTCATCACCATCATATGTGCAGAATTGTTAAGGATAGGTTTGTGTCAGCAAGCTTGTTATACTTTAATGGAGGTTCATGAATCTGCAGAAAAATATACACTCAAAAACTGACTTTTGATGCTTGTTCAAATATTTTAAAATACTTATTAATAATTATTTAAAATGAGTTTAAAACACCAATTCTTAAGTTTTTTTGGGACAACTTAATCGTTTTATGTTTAATCCCATTAAATTTGTAAAAACTATTAAGTTAACTCAATCGATTTGTGTTGGGACAACATGAAGGAATTGTGTGGAACCCAGCATTTATTACAGTGTAAATACTTGAAAAATGACAAACATTTTCAGTTGTCCAGCCAAATCAATAACAGGTTGGGGACACTGGTAATCAGACATTTTGTAGTGTAGATTATCTTACACTCAACCTGATTTTTGATCCTTCAATTCAATTCAGCTTTATTTGTATAGCGCTTTTACAATGTAGATTGTGTCAAAGCAGCTTCACATAAATGGTCATAGTAACTGGAACAGTGTGGTTCAGGTTTTAGTGTTTAAGTTCAGTTCAGCTCAGTTTAGCTCAGTTCAGTGTGATTTAATCATTACTGAGAGTTCAAACACTGAAGAGCCAATTCATCGATGCGTAGCTCTACCAATCCTGAACCATGCGAGGCAGTAGCGACAACGGAGAGGGAAAAAAAACTTCACCTGATGGGAGTGAAGAAAAAAAACCTTGAGAGAACCAGACTCAGTTGGGCACGACCATTTTAATTTCTCCGCTGGCCAAAAGTCCTTGCTTTTTAAGTCACTGTACTCCGCAAAAGTATGAAGTCACACCAAGACAGTTGCTGCGTCCGAAATCACACACTTCTATAATATGTATGTACTGTATACTATGAAAAACAGAATGCGAAAAGTACCCGGATGACCTACTACTTCCAAGTCCCGACGAGATTTTGAAGTGCACATCCGATGGAAGCTACGCTATCCTATGAAGCACCAAAAGTAAATTCATGGGTGGGAGTGAATTGACGCAACTGTGACATATTGTAGCTATAGTATGTCCAAATTCCATTCGTACTGTTGACATTAATACTGTATACAACATACTTTTACAACGGCCGGGTAGTACATTTAAATTCAAATGCAGTACCTACTGAGTAGTAGGCGATTTCGGATGCAGCCAGTTTCTTCCACATTAAAGTTAGCAGGAAATCAAATTTTCAATGTTTATATTTGCTAGCTCACATTGTTTTTCTTAAGCTGAATAAATAATCTGTGCAAGTTAATCCACTGAAAACAAAGTTAAGGTTTGCTAAAGTAATTATCAAAGAAAATTTGCTTCTGTATTTGGAGTGGAAATCCTTCTGTTAACGTCAACCTAAGGGCTTCCATAGCGACTGTATATTAATACTCCTAACCACACCTCTCTTACCGCTAGTTCGCTATGAGGGAATGATGTGCAAAAGACTGCCCAGTCCCTACTCAATATTATAGTGGGAAATACATCAACATACTCAAATAAAAGTCTTAGCAGCTTCTGGTCCACACAGACATTTCAGAATATTTGACAGCTGATCACCATTTACAAAATCATAGTAAAACCTGAATAAAATCTGGTGATCATGGTGATTACATTTGATTGTAATTCTGTCTCTTTTCAGGATAGTGTTCATCTTGTTCTGCTCAGTAAAAGGAACCTTCTCTTTTGTTCCTCCATATGCCAATTGATATACTACTGCATTTGTCAGTGTTTTGACCCAGATTTGGTTAATGCGCATGTAGTTTAATTTCATATACGACACATATCTTAGAATGCTAGTGGATTCACTGATGATGTTCGATGTCATGGATTTGAACAGTTTACAAGTTAAGGTGGGATATCGATTGAATTGTTTTTTGTTTGTGTGAACATGCTACACAGTTACAGAATTTTTGTCCACACTGATGGAATTTATCAGCAGATCCAAACATTGAGTGATAATCTGCATTGTGTAAAGAAATAAAGAAAAAACTTAGATAATCTACACTTACTTATTACTGCCAATTCATAGACATTTCATATTGACACTTTTGACTAAGCCGGGGTGTCCAAACTCGGTCTTAGAGGGTGGATGTCTTGCAGATTTTAGCTCAAACTTGCCTCAGCGCTGCTGCAAAGCCTAGTAAGAGCTTGATTAGCTAAACCCAGGTGTTTCTGATTGGGGTTGAAACTAAACATTGCAGGACACTGGCCCTCCAAGACTGAGTATTGGCACTCCCGGACTAAGTAAAAGCAGATTACTATACTAAATAACTCCCAGGGCCATTTATATCGAAGTTGATATTTAGCCGCACTATGTTTTGGTCGTTACCCCAATGCTCAATCCCCAACCAAGAGGACCAGGACATACACAAATACACTACAGACAATTTAGCTTACCCAATTCACCTATAGCACGTCTTTGGACTGTGGGGGAAACTGGAGCACCTGGAGGAAACCCAACCACAACATGAGGAGAACATGCAAACTCCACACAGAAATGCCAATTGGCCCAGCCAAGACGCGAACCAGCGACTTGCTTGCTGTGAGGCGACAGCGATACCCACGAAAACACCCAGATTACTATAACTCTTTCAAAATCAATCAAAATTAAGTCAAATGAAGTTTCTCCCATGCTTTAGGAAGTTATTGTTACTCCACTGACTCAAGATACTTCTCCAAATGATGTCAAAAGCTATTGCCTTTCCATGGCAGCATTGTTTCGATGATTGTTTTTGAATTGTAAAGGATATGTGATAAGGTAGCGGGTTAGTTTCTTCTTCTCTGTAGCAGCCATGTTATAAAAGTAGACATGAACGCCTCTCATGAAGTCAGCCAACCCTGGAGCCCCCGGACCTTCATGTGATGTAGTGGAGAGTTCTGCTGACTTTGTTAGACCTTCTCTGTTAGCCGGAGGACTGGAGGAGTGTGGGGACTCAGATGGTGAGGATGCTGCAGGCTTTGAGCTTGATGGAGTGGTGGTGCTAGCAGTGGAAGACACTGTAGTGTGTGAAGATCCTCGTCTGTAGTAGTAACTGAATAATGAGTCAAGGATAAAATAATACAACTATTTCGGTTTATAAATGCCTCATTTCATGTTATTTGAAACTGGAGAATAGTTTCAGATGAAATCAAGCCAAAGTGAATTTGGCTGTAAACTGGTTTCCAAAGCAAACTTTCCAAAAGTTGCTCTGGCTGGTAAAAATCTTGGAAGGAACTATGATCTGTTTTTATTACATAAGTTAACAAAATTAAGTTGTAATTTTGATTAAAACATACTTCCTATATAA